GGTGGCGCTCTCTGTTGTCAACAGACGTAGGTTACCGTTCATTACGCCTGAATGACTGCATAGGCTTTCTGGAATAGGCATTTTAAAATCTAATATTTTGCCATCAAAATGTACAAAAACACAAAAGCTCGCATTATATTAGTTATCGAACACACATTTAATCATCAATTAAAATTTACAGAGAAAAAGTAAGATACAAAATCTTAATAATTAAGTTAGAAATTGGGATCAATGATTTGTTAGTGGCGAAAATGGCGTCGGGTTGAACGCATTTTCCAACGATAGCAACCGAGTAGTATCACGTGGTATCGTGACGTAACACTGTAGTACTTTATGTTTTACTTTAATGTTCCTGTCAGAAATCTGTTGTCTTATTGATAGATACTTCCATATCAATGGCTGCAAATATAGTATGTTGCTGACTTTCTTTAGCCAATAATAATAATAATAATAGCAATAATAATAATAATAATAATAATAATAGTCTTTTTTGTGGTTATTACATTGTTTTTGTTACTGATATTCATTATTGTTTCTTTCTAATTATATTTGTTATGATTAGTTATTAAGATTATTAATTTATTTAAAATCCTGGAACATTGACAGGAATATATTTAGAAGCACACAAAAAAAGATAAATAAAAATAAAATCTATATCAGATTTAATTCTCTATAATGGAAATGATTAAATGTCGTAATCATTAGCAAATGCTAATTGCACTCGTTTTTCTATTATTTTTTTTTTTCACATTAAAATTACGAATCCACGTGTAACTGAAATTTGCCGAATTCCTTGCTGCGATTAATTAATTATAACTAAAATTGTTTACAGGTTTTCGTTAGTGTAGATATTTTTGTTTATATTTTATCCCAAATCAAATGTTGGATTATCATGCAGTTACGGGGAGTATCAAAGATATTTTCCCTTTTTCGCATTTTTAATCTAACGCTTATGAGGCTTCTTGATCGGCCGTCTTCCTGTGCTTGGTCGGTCTTATGTTTCTCTCCTGTGGGTGTGGGGAAATTCTTATTGCCAGTAAATGGTTGCACTGTGGTAGTGGAGCCGCATTTCTGGTGTATAGAGGTTATTACGTGTTGGTCTTTTGCTTTGCTTTTTTCTTAAAAATAAAGATATAATTATAATAATAATGGATACAACGGACAAATTAGGTAGTAGCTATAGCAACAATTGTCTTTCATGTGTTAAAACAAGAGATTTTTTTACCACATCGTTAGAAAAAGAGATGAAAAACATTAACTACTTAAATTATACAGATATCCCTCTATTTAAAGACCCCTCCAATTAAAGATCATTATTTTTCATTATTCTAATTGAGGACAATTTAAAGAGAAACGTCGCAGGCCAGATATCTCAAAATTGCTCAACTGATCCGAATGAAATTTTCCGGAAAAGTTTACAAGTTACAATAAAACGTTAATAAAATTTGGTTACGATATATGGGTGTGGATTTAGAGTCATTTAAAAATGCTGACGTCCCTGTATTTATTATTATTATTTTCACTAGTATATTTTATTCACTAGTATTTCATATTATTATTATTATTATTATTATTATTATTATTATTATTATTATTATTATATTTGATAAGAAATTCTCAAACATACTTACAAAATAGGGTGACTTTAAAGGGGGATTGCTGTGTTCAAGAAATTTTATTTATTGAAGTATTTTTGTTTAAATCAAATTATAGCCTTAAACCAAGGCCTATATTAACAAACATTTATCAAACGTCCAACTGTTCATGCAATTCGTTGTTGGCCTACTGTTGTTTGTCAAGGGAGAGCATTTCGTACCGCTTTTGCTTTGCTAGTTTAAGTATTATCATGATTTGTACTTTTGTATCCTTCTGTGCTTTCCTTCTGGAGGTTTAATTGATCAAATTTGAAATTAAATAACAAGACTTATGCTATTAACATCTAACACATTTTTTATAATCTGACTTGTCTTATCGCCCGTATCAAGAAGAAAAGTTTTTTGTGGTATTTTTTTTATATCATCTTTGGAGTGGTAGCATTATAAAAGTTAAAAAGAATAGAACAATGAATGAAAAGCATTATTTGCACGAGGCAATTCAATAAGCCATTTCACGGTTCTAACTGTGTATGCTCGTATCAAGTTCAATCGACATAAACACCATACCATAGAGCATAATTCAATACAATGCCTAAAACAACAATAAACAATGATAATAAAAATTAAAAAGTAGTTAATTTAGTAAAATATTTAAAGCTCGGAATAACCCAATAAAATGGTTTATTTCCGTTATTGATCAATAAATAAAACATCATGACTTCGTGGTTCCACATCATTAGTAAAACGGACCATATTATATTGCATAATCTGCAATTTCTTAACAATACGAGCAAAAGTAATCTTAATGACAGTGAACAAATGCGGAGCAAATTGTTTTTAGAATTTACGTAAATATTTTTTGTAGGTATGTATTAGTTTTGAAATTTGTTGACGAAGTGCTCTTTGTTTAATCAAAGACTATTATTCAATATATCTATTAGCATTCATTCTGAAAAAAAAAATGTTAGTGTCCTTCCGTTAGTTTGTCCCATGTTTGGGACGCACTCCCTAATTTGCGGAACAATGAATGTAAATAATATAATGTAAATATCGTCTTTACAATTGTTTTGTATTTTAGTGGATTACTAGTCTTGCTGGCTTGTTGATTGGTTGATCGACTGTCCGACCAAACGACTGACTGCTTGCTTGATTTAATGGTCGATAAATTAATTGATAAATTGATCGATCAATAGATTATACTATTATAAATGGCTATAGTGGAATTAACTGTCTCACGCAATTCTAAATAAAGCTTAGGCAATCCCAAGTTTAGGAAGGAAAAAGGAATTTTAATCTATATATGTAAAATACGTTACTATTGAGGTTAGCACCCTTGATCTCTCAATAGATAGAGATATTAAGGAAGTCTAGATATGTTATGTGATAAAAAAAAAAACATTTTAAAAAAGAGCGCTGGGAGACATAATGCAGAATCTTTGTAGAACAGCCATTAGCTGTTTTTGATGGCAATGAAAATTACAAATTGGTCCCCACCACCCCTTCTTACTATTAAAAAAGTGCAAAACGTGCGATATATGACACCTGAATGATTAAAATAAAGCTTCTGCATGTTGTCCACTGAAGAGTAATTGCAATAATAACTGTTGATTTTTATGTTTAAAATAATACTTTCTTTTTTTTTAAATTTAAATGTTTCTGTTAACTTGCCTTTCCCCCTGCTTTTCAGGGTTTAAAAAAAATGATTGAAGTAATTCATGGTTATAATTCGATTCAATTAAAAAAACTGATATTGCTTTGACTACAGTGAACCTTAGTGGAGGGACGTATGCCACACAGAGTTCTGTTATTGGTAATAAAGTAGCAGAAAAAGCAGTTGACGGCAGAAAATCAGGCAATATGAACGATTGGTCCTGCACACACACAAGTAAGTTCTCACACTTGAATCGACACTTTGATCCATGGAGGCTCACTGTACTAGCTCTAGAGTTCGTATATTAGCATCGTCTTCAAACATGACATAACAAAAAGGATAATACTAATTGCTAATGTTGATATTATATATCTCCGCCCGGAGATATATGTTTTCAGTCGTGAATGTTTGTGTCTCACATTTTCGTGTTTTGTGTGCGTGTGTGTTTTTTTTTTTGTGTTCTAATTATCACAACAACGGCTGCACTGATATAAATGAAAATAACAGGGAATCTTGGTTTGACCCAATGAGGAAATTATTTTGGTGACGGTCCGGAGTAGGGTGTGGATGTGAGGACCAATTTAAGGGATTTAAGAGCAAACACTCTACATCAGATATTTCAAAAACGTGTTAACTTATCTGAACCAAGTAAGAAGTAAGAAATAATTGTGTTGGTGAAGATCCAAATTCAGGTTTGAATTTGAGGGTCATTTAAAGTGCTAAGGTCCCCGACCTAAAAATCAATGGATCTAAATGATACTACCCAGAACAGTTTGTCATGTTTCGATGAAGACATTTTTAAATTTTTGTGACCATCCGGAGTAGGGTGTGGGTATGAGAACCATTCAAAGGAAAACGTCCCAGACCAGATATTTCAAAAACTAATCGACTGATAAATATCAGAAATAGAAAGTGTTTGGGCGAGTTACTGTGTGTTTTTGAAGAGCTAAGGAGCGGAGCAAAGTAATGTGGGGTGGTAGTGTTGGTTGAAGTAAATTAGGGAGATTTATTTTATAGAAAGGGCTTTGCTTTGGGCGGAGATATGTTCTGTACTGAGTACTCTTGTTTATTATATTTCCATCATATTAAACGAGGATAACCCTTCCAGCTAAATGGCAAGAGACAGTAGACTGAACAATAAGGGACTTTGACAAACATTAAAATACAATGTCATTAAAACACGGTTTTCTTATGTAAAATTTTAAATATTTACAAGTATAAAGACAATTAAAATTCATTTATTATGAGAAAACTTCATTGAAATGAAAAATCCACAACAATCAGAACATGCAATTTCAAAATTCAAAATGTCCGAGATAATAAAAAGGACAGGAAAATCAATGATTTTGGATAAGAAGATCTACGAAAGCACAGAAAGTTAGCAACTACGTTGGTTAAGCAATAATGAAAAGTAAAAAATATTAAATGTTAACTTTTTGGACATTTCAGAAAACCAAGCTGACAACTGGTGGAAGGTTGACCTCGGAAAGCACTTCAAAATCAAATATGTTAGGCTATACAATCGACAAGGTAGGTGAACAAAACACCATAATCTATAAGAAATGTTTCTTACGTAGGTCTAATAAGGAGCTAGATTGATCGATGACGGCAAAAATCATAGCGCAGGGTATAGCTACCAAGTTCAGAGGTGTTGCTGGCTTGTCCACAAACACCTCTGCCCCACAATTTTTTTACCACCTGTAGATGTCCGGAAATGGCACTCTAAAAAAAGAAATTCAATTCAATTCTAAACACACAAAAAATTCTGTCTCTCGGGTCATGTCATTCGCGCGATCGAAAACGTCCTAATCGAAGGGTATGGCGGTTCGGTTTTTCCATATCGTTAAGGTAGAAATTATAGAGGGCGGTATTTTAGGTCAGTTACGTGAACTGATAAACATATGCATGTTTGACTTCTCCCTCGCAAAAACAGTGTTCGCTGCTTGTAAAATCTAGTACTGATTCTGAAGGATATAAACGTTTAGATGCTCGAACAATTTTATCTATAGTTTTAATAGTTGTGACGAAACTATAAACATGAATATGCATACGATGTTCAGTGGTGTATCGAGCAAGCTCCAGGTTGAAAGCTACGGCGTAGGTCAAAATGTCTAAAATAGGTCTTGGTAGTCAAAGACAGTGTCAAAATTAATGGACTTTTGTTATATTATCCCTGCCACAGTTTATTTATATATGATCTTTGAAAGTATAAAAAGCACAGTACCGTATAGTATTGAATCTGGCTATTTGAGTGTGGTATATAAAAATTAGTCTATCCATGATGTGGTATGCGTCGTATCAACTGTCCATCTTCAGTAGTACATGATTCGATCTCACGTTCAAGTTCAAGTTTCTTTTTATTGTCACGTAAAATACATGGGAAAAAAAGGTTCAGCATGCATGTTGATTTTTTATTTATTCTTAGTTTATTTTATTTCAATTACATTCTAATGATATAAAGCGCTTAGAAATGCTCGGAGACAATAATTACGAGTAATTCAGACACAGTTATTAATTACAATGTTTAAAATAAAAGAAAAATTAATGGGGTATAGCTTGTTGCATTCTTTTTTGCATGGCCCATTGGCTGATAAAATTTGAATCAATGAAATCTACACTTTAATCAGTATTGATCGTTTTAATGAGCTATTCAATTTTTAATTGGGTATTTAAAGGTTTCCTTGATTATGGTGGCGGAGGGTGAGTCTAAAATAAACAGTACGTCATAGTCAGTATATTCAATATCGACAGTTTTGGTAAAATGAATCATATTATACGGTAATCTGCTTGCTATTAAGCCTATGACTATGCTTCTTATTCATATTGAATGTGAACGAAATGTTCGTGAGAATTATTTAAACTATACATAATTGTCTTAATACCGTGTCCGAGCATTTCTAAACGTTAATATTCTTCAGAATCAGTACTACTGGGTGCCTTCGAGGAATGATCTTTAACGCTGCAGATTTTACAACCAGTGAATACTGCTTTCGCTAAGGAGAAGTCTAGCATGCATATTCATGTTTATTTGTATTTTATTTATTTATTTGGATATACACCTTCGGATCGAGGGCACACGTTTAATGGTTAATGGTTATTAATTTATAGAACGCAAAATACAAAAAGTCTCTAAGCGCATCTTTATAATCAACAATATAACAAAAGAAGAGGAAAAAAAAAGCAATTGAACAAATGTAGTCTGTAGTCTGCCTACAGACTAACAAACTAAAAACAAAGAAGCACATCAAGTTAATACAATCTGACACCTAATCTACAAAACGTTAGCTTCCATAAAGAACGGTAAAATCAAAAGATAAATGAGTTACATAAAATCATTCTTATACTTTAAACTCATTCTTCCAATGTATTTTAACCTACCTCTACCGTCCTCCTTCCCTCTTCCACTACCTAATTCCTAATCTGTCATAAAAGAAATTCTGGTAAATTAAATATATATAACGAAACATACAACAATCTTCAACAAAATACATAAATATATAAATATGTATATATATATATATTATGTGTATATATATATTATATATATATATATATATAATATAATATATAATGATTTTGGCGTAAATGTAAAACCATTATATATAAATAATGAAATACTTTTTATTTATAAATAATGTTTCTGAAACGTTGATTATTTATTAATGATTATTTGGTTTGAAATAATTATTTATATATAAATAACTTTATATGTTAAATAATGAAATATAAATAATTTGACTGAATAATACATTTATACTTATATAAGTCTGGCCTTAATAATTATTTGTTTTTAGATTGTTGCAAGGAACGATTGAATGGCGCCACCATTCGTGTTGGCAATAGCACCACCGGTTTGCTGTCAAATCCACAATGTGGAGTGGTAGTCAACATTGCGGATATCAACAACTCGAATGTTATCAGTCGACAATGCACTCCCGAAACTATTGGTCGATACGTCAGTGTCTCACTCTCTCATGATTATTTATCGCTTTGCGAAGTTGAAGTGTGGGGTGACGATGGCAATTAGTGTATAATGTTGAAGCAGAAACATACATGTTATCACTTCGCCATGCAAACCTTCAAACAATACTTTGCTATTAGTGTAGTTTAGTTTTGAAAGTAGAAATAAAGCGCTTGATTCCGTGCAAATTTCTGTGGCCTGTTTCCTGATTTCAGCCTCATGATTACCGTACCATACCGAACAACACACCAATAACATGATTATCAATTTAATGAACATTTTTTTTATGCTGTACGTACAAGTCGAGTGATCGAGCATGGGTGCCAGAATAAAAAAAAACAAAAACAAAGCATTGATGATGGAAGAGGGAAATAAGTTGATGGACCTAGCTGAAGATGGTCAAAACATAAATTATAGCATACTTTATCCTGTTCACTGCTTAGCACTGAAGAGGGTCTTGAGTTTGAAGAGAGCAAGCAACTTTCTTACACTAATGCCCTAATTACACACATCAATTTCTCTTTATTTCGGACAATGTCATATCGAAACAAATACAAAGCAAATTAGATTGAAATAGAGAAAAAAATGTATACACCGAGGCATTTGTCTCAGACATACATAAGCCACTTAATAGGGGTTCTACTTTATTTATGAATATTTCTATCTTTGTAAATTATGGCCACTTTAATTTGAACAACCCAGATGCTTGAATACAATGCTTGATATCTAAATTTTATAATTAAAAAACCCGATATAAAATAAAATACAATATAATGGAGAACAGGGTCTATTGCTATTTACTCGAGTTACCGGATATTGAGAAATACAAAAATAAAATCCAATTAAATAAAACACATTTTCCGAAAGGTCCACTGATTAATCTCATATAAGAAAGTATAATACATACTCCAAGTATTGAAATACACGCCATCGTGTTGGGATTCAATATTTCGACATTAATTATGTCATCATCAGGAATGAAAAAATTATCCATATTAGCAAGCTTATATGCACTAGTACCAAAAGTGTTTAACCAATCAAAACATTACCTCTAGTAGGCGACAATTCACTGCTATGTCGCCTACTAGAGGTAATGTTTTGATTGGTTAAACACTTTTGGTACTAGTGCATATAAGCTTGCTAATATCGATAATTTTTTCATTCCTGATGATGACATAATTAATGTCGAAATATTGAATCCCAACACGATGGCGTGTATTTCAATACTTGGAGTATGTATTATACTTTCTTAAAACACATTTTATAAATACACAAGATACAATTTACTTATGTTCATATGACTTCTACGAATGGATACTCTTTGAAGCAAGAAATCAAGTGCGGCATTTACTCAGTATCGTTCGTGTTTATATCGGCGGGAAATTCTGCCTACAATTTACTATTCATTATTTTTCAAAATACTAAGTGAATATGTCAAAATTGGAATAAAATACTGCCTGGTGGATTGCGATTTCAACTTGCTGAATCTGGCCTGAGGATTCACTAATGTACTACTAGCTTATGTATGAGATGTATTATCAGTTTCTTTTTTTTTTAAATAACAGTCTCATGAGATTAATTTGCTGTTCGTAAGTCTTTACTGAATAATAAATAAAAGCGTTTTAATTATATTTAGCTAATTCTTGGTACATTATAGTCCCACAGACATCGAGACCGTATAAGGATATCTTCATGGTGGAACAGGTGATAATGGTACATTATGATTTTATAGACCATTTTATCGGGATTATTTTGAAACAGCGCTATGGAAGGCAATCACCGCCAAAAATACAATTTTAGACAATAAACGTGCTTTCTCAAACAAACAACGAACATTTACAAATAAACAATGTATTTTTAAAAATAAACAACATACTTTTACAAACAAAGAACGTTCTTTATAAAACAAACAACGTATATTGCCAAACGATGTATTTTCTCAAACGAAGAACGTACATTGTGAAACGAAGAACGTTCTATGCCAAACAAACAATATATATTGCCAAACGAACAACGTACTTTCCCAAACGATGTAAAATGCCAAATGAACAACGGAATCGTCCATTATTTCAACGGGGTAATTGTAATTTTATAGCACGCATCACACGCTGAACAAGATAACGCCCTCATCATCAGTTATCAAGTTCTTAGACTCTCTTACACAGAACTTAAATAGCCTGGGTGAAGTAGGAAATTAGCGGGAAAAAAGTGAAGGAAAATTTATTTTTT